TGGAATGGTAGATCTGATCTGACCTGATCTTCAAAGTGTGGGATGGGATAGAAGAGAAGTAAAGGGAAAAAAGGAAAGGAATTTTTGGAAAGAAAAGGAAAGTAATAAGTTGAGTGAGTGAGTAATGCAATAGTATGTATGAAATGTATGTATAAATTTATATATATTCATAAACTACTAGGTACTTCTAATCTGAAGTTGAAGTTGATGATGATGTTAATATTGAGATTAAGATTAATATTAAGGTTTATATAGAGGTCTGTACGGAGGTCTGTACGGAGAATTATATTATTCTGTAATCGTAATAGGAAAGAGGAAAATAAAGCAAATATCTAGTAAGTCATTAGTTAGTATGTTAGATGAATAAGAAAGAAAGAATTGAGTTTGGGTGTTTGTATAGGAGTTGGGGAGTGGGGAGGTGGGGAGTTGGGGAGTGAGGAGTTGGGAAGTTAGAGAATTAAGGAGTTGGGGAGTTGAGGAGTTGAGGTGTGTAGAGATGGTTGGGGTATGGTAGGTAGGGAGGGAGGGAGGGAGGGAGGGAGGTATGGATAGCTATAGGTAGGTAGATATTTAGGCAGATATTAGATAAATAGGTTACAGGTATTTAAGACTTATATTTTGATGTATAGGAGATAGGAGATGGGAGATGGGAAATGGGAAATGGGAAATGGGAAATGAGAGATGAAACTTGAAACTTGAGATTTGAGATTTGAAAGATTGAGAGTTAGTGAGGGGGGTGGATTATACTGTCGAGGCTGTTTATTGGTGAGGAGGGGGTTGTTTTTTATACTAGTGTTATATGATGTTATACTATATTATATTGTATGATGTAGTAGATGTGATGGTTATGCTATATATGATTTGAGGGGGGGGTTATGGGATGATTAGAGTAGTTATAATTTATATGGGATGATAATAAGAGTCTCTCTCTACTTTATACTCTACTTTATACTCTCTTCTACTATACTCTTAAATTTAAAATCCAAAATTCTTATGATTGATTGATTGATTTAATTTAACGTCCCGCTTTAGTCCATGACTATATAAGACGGCTAGGCCATAAGGGCACTAGCGAGTAACTTTTGAAATATATAATGGGGATGGAATATTGGGGGAAGTGAAAACAAATACTGGGGTATATTGCTTATTATTGTATGTAGTTCATATAATAGGTTTTGAAGAGGGTTTTACTCTTCTCTTTCTTCTCTTTCATCTCTTTCCTCTCTCTCCTCTTTCCTCTTTTGTATCTCTTCTTCTATTTCTCTAATTGCTCTTTCTCCTTCGCTTATTGAATCTATTTCTTTAACTATTTCGTTTTGAATTTCGGCTCTAGCTAGATGCCAGGTCCTTGTAGCAATTTAGTAGTATTGATGAAGTTGATTGCTAGTTCGATGCCTATTTTCGTATATAATAGGAATTGTAGATTGGTTTGAGATATTGGTAGGTTTTTGAAGATTTCTTTCCTTTCTTTTCTGTATATCGGGTATCCAATCAAAAGGTGGGCAGTAGTTTCGATATTGTTGTAGATACATTTATTATTAGAAAGCTTAAATCGATATAGGTAGGACTTGATATAACTATGGCCAATTTTGAGTTAAAAGAAGGTGTTAGTGGTATTTCGCTTGGTGCTTTTCGGTAGCTTGATTTTGGAGCTAATTTTCCATGAGAAGAGTTTCGAATAGGTTGTATCGGATTGATTCGGTCTGGATTTATATTGATTGAGAGTCTTTAGTTATTGATCGGAATCGTATTCTTTAATTATTATGTTAAGTAGCCTTATACTAGTTTCGCTTGAAGTGGTCTGTATTGAAGTTGCCTCTTTTGCTAATTTATTCCGCTATTTCGTCCAAAATTCTTATATCTTTATATCTTTATATCTTTATACTCTTATTTAATACTTTTACAAATTCTAGAGTATTAATAATAAATATACATAAATATATCCTATCCTCTCCTCTTCTCTCCTCTCTACTAAAAAAACCCTCAAAACAATTGTAACGGAATAAGAGAAATATTCATCTTCCCTCCCCAATACCCACCTACCTAGCCTCTACTCCGTAGAAACACTCACTGATAGCCCTGGAGTACCTAGATAGTAACAACAACTCCAATTACATCGCATAACCCGGAAACCGAAATACGGAAACCAAACCCCCGAAAAACGGAGTTGATTACTATAGTACCTAGATATGAATACCATAGATTTCCCGGATCGGTATTTGTAGATTGTACTGTAGATCATGTGAGTGAGACTTTTTACTGTTGGTGCATAGGTATCCATGATTGGTATGGATGCCCTACGATAAGTCTAAGGTGCTTAGGTTACTTGCTTGTGGCGTGCAGTGCTATGGTGCTGAGGACCTTGGGAGATGGATGGATGGATGGATGGATGCTTTTAGTGCTGTAGGTAGTGCTGTAGGTAGGTAGTTGGTAAATCTTTAGTGAATAATTAGTAAATAATTAGTAAATACTTAGTAAATATTTAGTAAATATGCAGGACATTCGGCGTGGCGGGGTTGGATTATTATCCGTTGGTAGATACGGAGTAGATGGTTTGGAGGGTTGATTGAATTCATTTGACTTGATTTGGTGGACTCGAGGTGGATTGGTTGATTGGTTGATTGATTGATTGATTGATTGATTGATTGATTGATTGATTGATTGATTGATTGATTGATTGATTGATTGATTGATTGATAAATCAAAAGGGAGAGAAAGTAGAATTAATTCCACAATTACCGGTATTACATAGGTAGGCATCTTATCATATCATATCAAACAAATCAAACAAATCAAACGCATCATTACATAAACAAGTAGTGGTACCATACAATACTCGTGTTCTGGAAATAGAATGACGTAGTACAGAGGAAGATGATTGAATACTCTGTAGATTCATGTGGGAAGAGTAAGATGATTTGGATTGGTTGGGAGAGGGAGTTGGAAATGTTTTGAGGGATGAGGGATGAGGGATGATTGATGATTGATGATTGAAATGTCTACCTAATAACCTATCAGTGGGTTCAGAAAAAGGCCAAGGAATATAAAAAGTGTACGGAGCTTGGTGAGATGTGAGGATGTGAGGATGTGAGGATGTTGTAACGAACGAGTGGTCGAAATACGAGTTGAGGTTATGAGACATGTGAAATTGGGATGGGGAGATGGATGGGGGTGATGGATAGATAGATAGGGGAGGAGGGGAGGATAGAGAGATTGATGGAAATGGTGATGAAGATAAAGATGGAGAGACTTTGAAAGAATGAATTAAAATCATCTATAAGAGAGAGAGAAAGAGAAAGGAAGGAAGAAAGATTTCAATCAATACTTCGTATTTGATATAAAGTACCCTTTCCCTTTGTACTTACCTCCATCCTTTGCCTCCTTAAAGGATGGATGGAATCCCAACTGAGACCTCTTTGAAGAATACTAGGTACCTACTTAAATTGGCAATTTTATCAGTCTAGATGAGATAAGATAACGTCTCTCGTCAAGATATACAAGATATACAAGATATACAAGATATTCATCAATCAACAATTCAAGAATGATATCTGTCGAGAGATCTGATTAATATATATAGAGATGATGTAGAGAAGAGTACTGATGATTTATATATGTTGAATATTGAGGATTGAAAACTTGTTGAGAAATTCTATATATAGATTTACTTGGACATGTATCGTAGTAGATATGCTAGGTGAGGTAACTACCTCGTACTTATGCAAGTCACAGGAAGTCCGAGGATAAGCTATTTTGGTTAGTTGTTGGTAGTGTTGGTATTGTTGATAGTGTTGGCTTATTGAGGAGAAGGGTAACCCCTTCTAATATTGGGTAGGTGGAAGCCTTATTACTTAGGCAATACTTCACTCTTTTTACTCTTCAAAGTACTAGGTAACCTTTCATTTCAATCTTCACTTGTCACATTTTTGATCACCTTTCACTCTTCAAAGTAACCTTTCATTTCAATCTTCACTTGTCACTTCTCAAACCTTAACTCTTAAATAACCTTTCACCCTTCACTCGTCACTCTTTATTACTTTTCATCTTCACCCTTCACTTCTCAAACCTTAACCTTCACTCTCAACCTTAACCCTTATTAATCCTTAATCATTGATTGACCTTCTTTAAACCTTCTTCCACCAATGCAATGCCAGTGCCACACCACACACATCATTCCATTACATTATCCCAACCTAGGATACGGTACCTTGATCTACCCTCCAATGAAATTCCATCATTCCTGATCCTTCTCCACTTTTCTCTTTTGAGTTTTGGTTCTCGAATCCATCATTCGGTCATCTGTATCTCCATCTCCATCTGTATGTGTGTGTGTGTGTGTGTGTGCACTGTGTTGTGTTTGTCTTGTGTGTCTTGCTTTTTTTTTTCTTTCGTTTTTTGCCTGAGCCTTGAGCCTTGAGCCTTGGAGTGAACCCACATCAGACCCTTCCTATGTAACCTAACCTTCCTAGTAGCATTAAACAAAATTTATTCTCTTTCTCTCTTTCATATTCATTCATCCCTCCCTCATTTCCATCTCCATTTCCATTTCCATCCCCATTCCCCTCGTTCCAAATTATCAACGGTACTTTCGTTAAGATCAACAATAAATCAACAATCTAAAACATTAAGATTGTTCTTTTCCTATTTTACGAAATATTCAACGGCAAATCACATTCACATCCACATCATCCACATCATCCACGTCCATACTCATACACACACACACACACACACACACACACACACACACACACTCACACTCACATTCACACTCTCGCTCATACCGATTACCCAAAAATCAAACTTTCTTCATCTATTTGCGACATTTCCACACAATTCTGCCAAGTTTACCAATCAATCAGTAACAAGACTTTAAACATACCATCCACACAACAAAAACCTATTCCAAAGACTGAATACAATTTTCTTTTCATTCCTCCATCTACCTCAACAAAATCTTTCGTTTGACACCTGGGAATAACGATCGATCTTCTCACACAATGTATTCCCGGTCATTAAGATTATTGTCAGTATTGGCAATCATCTTCGCCATTGCCCAAGCCGGTTGGATTGATCGTGGCGTCTTTAATCGACGAGCAGATAGTACCGGTGCCTTAACATCAGGAGGTGGAAGTAGTGCTGCCACCAGTGCCGGAGGAAGCGGAGCAGATACAGATACTACCACTTCAGCAGCACCAACAACATCTGCCACTCCAACCACATCAGCAGAGAAAACAAGTGAAACTTCAGCCACTACCTCAGCAGCACCCACAACTCCAACAACCACATCAGCAGCCCCTACAACTGCAGCTCCTACAACTTCTTCTGCAGCAACAACTCCCGTATCTGTTCCTGAAACGACATCTTCAGCAACCACACCAGCCCAAAACCACGGCCTGCTCAAACTACCGAAGATGCTCAAACTACTCAGACATCCGCGACTAAAACATCTAGCACCAAGAGTAGCAAGTCTTCTACATCTTCATCATCAACCGTTCCATCTACCACTTTCTCTGAAGTCACCATTACCCCATCCGCAACTCAAGTCGTCGTAACCGTCGTTTCAACATCAAGTGGAAGTACTATTACCTCGGAATACACTACCTCTACTACTCCTGCCGCATACACCACTACAACCGCTGTTCCCATTAGTGATTCTTCATCCTCCTCTTCCACGGGTATGTCAACCAAGACACGCAATACCGTTATTGGTGTCGTAGTTGGTATTGGTGGTGCCATTCTTCTCGGAGGATTATTCATCGTCGCATGGAGAATCTGGGGACGCAACAAGAAGGAAGATGAGAATGATGGATTGATGGGAGGTTACGATCCAGTATCTGCCGGTCACGAAATGAAGAATGAAGGTGGTGTTGCACCCAATCCTTTCCAAACTACTTTGGAAGGTTATCATCAACCTGGAAGAGGAAATGTTTCGGCAAACTTCTAAAGGATGATCTCCTGATTTTTTAGTTTTTGGGAGGACATTTTTTGTTTGTTTTTTTCATTATGAAACATCACTTCGCTGTATATGTCAGATGGATAAGGGTTTGCATTGCATTGCATGTATGTATGTATGCATGATGGATAGGAGATTGGAGTATATTGGCCAGCGAGTCAGAGATTATTCATCTCTTTTTTCTTTTTATTTATCACATTTTGCAATGGGGTATCTGGGTGGTGTGATATAGTGACGTTTTAGATGGAATGGAATTCCTCACTGGTAAACACCAACACATCATTAGCATTTTTATAGTTTGAGTTTTTGAGTTTTACAAAAAGCACTTGTATGCCTTCCATTCCTTTTTTTTACGGCCTGAAGTTATTACAGCGTTTATATATATTAATGGCATGGTGTTTTTTTGTATGTTTTGGGGAATTGTAGTTGGGGAATGAATGCATTGAGTGGATGGATGGATGGATGGATACCTTTGATGTATGTATGCGAGCGTGGATTGAGAGGGAGAGAGGGAGAGAGGGAGAGAGGGAGAGAGGGGGGGGTGAGTGGTGGAAATGAAAGTAAGAGTGAGCGTTGAGGAAATTTAGTTGGATACTAGATAGTTAGGTAGGTGGTTGATTAGGTAGGTGGTTGATTAGGTAGATGGGAGATTAGGTAGATAGGAGATGAAAAGAATACTTTTAATTTAATACGAATGAATGGTTTTTTGTGCTGTGGTATTATATTGTATTGTATTGTATTATATTATATAATATATAAAGGTTGATAGTATAAGTATTATAAAACATATTAAAAAGCGATCAAGCTTTCTTTATTTTTATTATTTAGACTAATTATATTATTATATTAATTGAAAATTTATACAAGTTAGTAAATTTCAGATGATAAAGGATTATATCATAAATGTAGTTTATTTTTAGCAAAATTTTTTATATTTAGCGAAATTTTTTATTTTTTTTTCTGTTTGGAAATATTATTCTAACTTGGGTATTTAGGATTTGTAGAGTTAATAAGCTTTGAAAACTTTGAAAGCTTTGAAAGCTTTTGAAATTTTTAAAACTTTGAAATTAGAAAAGATTAGGAATTTGAATAAAAGGATTCGAATAAAAGGATTTGGAATTCGATTTTTTGAGAAGGGGGGGGAAAAGTTAAATAAACTTAGGAAAAGAGAAGGAGGAAGAGAAGAGAGGTAGTATGAGAATTTTGGGAATTTTGTAAATAGTAGGGAATTATATTTATTTTATTTTTATTAAAAATGAGGTGAGGAAGATTTTTATATTATTGGTTTTGGGGGAGAGTGGAGGAGAGTAGAGGGGAGAGGGGGAGTAGAGGGGAGTAGAGGGAGTAGAGGGGAGTAGAGGGAGGAGGAGAGGGAGGAGGAGAGGAGAGGAGGAGAGGAATGAGAGAGGAGGCGAGGCGGAGAGGAGGAGCGGAGGAGGGAGGAGGAGGAGGAGGAGGAGAGGAGGAGAGGAGGAGAGGAGGCGAGGAGGAGGAGAGGAGGAGAGTAGAAATATTTTTTTAAGGGGGGAGGAGAGGAGGAGGGGTTTTGATGTATGTATGATTATTGGGGGCTGGACTAGGTAGGGTAGGTAGGTAGGTCGATAGGTAGGTAGATGTATTGTCTGTGTTTGATAGATGAATGAGTAGAGTTAAATAGGATGACTGGATGAAGTTGGGATAGAATGGATGGATTTGATAGGATGGATAGAGTTGATAGGATGGATTTGATCTATATTGAAGGTAGGTAGGTAGATGAAAATTAGTTAATAAATGAGAAATAGGGAAATATATATATATTTAGATAGGTAGGTAGGTACGGTACCTAGTAGATACTTTTTGGTTGTGTAGGTGAGGAGGAGATAGGAGGGGATGAAAAGAGAAGAGGGGATGAGAGGGGATGAGAGGGGGATGAGAGGGGATGAGAGGGGATGAGAGGGGATGAGAGGGGATGAGAGGGAGAAGGAGAGAGAGGGAGGAGAGAGAGGGGATATGAGGGATCTGGAGACGGAGGTGGAGGCGAAGGCGGGGGGATGTGGAGGCGGATGAGGGATGAGAAGAGAGCTTAGGATTAGATTGAGGGTATGTATTAGATGGATGTAAGTTTGAATAATAAATTTGCGATAAATAGCATAAATAATTGATTATCGATTTGTAGTATTTATTATCGGTAGTGATTCGCTTGATGATTTTATTCATTTATTATTCTTTATGATATCTTCCGTAAGCTTACCGCAAGCCTACCTTCAAGCCTTATCTATTATTATATTTAGTTATCTATGTTATTTTTTTATTTTTTTATTCCTCGATAATAATCCAGGTCCGATTACTGTGGTGTACCATACCGTCCTAGATAGAGTAAATTGAGTAATTAATAAGATAGATTACTTTTATGTAACGAGTGCAGTCGCATAAGTGTTTCGTACCTCGCATACGGAATGAGTTTTTCTGATGAGGGAGAGGAGAGTACGGGAGGAAAGGATGGGATGGGGAGGGGAGAGGAGAGACGGCTGGTTAGGAGGGGTTGTGTTGGATTTTGGGAGGAGAGATGGATGCTGATTGGTTGTATGGTGAAGTTGGCGGTCTCAGGTAGAGGGATTGTTTGAGGTTTGAGGTTGGGGGTTGAGGTTGGGGTTGGGGTTGGATCTTTACTGCACAGCTGTGATGTATCTAGAGTCTGTGACCTTTCTTTGCTTTAGGAGGCGCTGGAGGTTTGGATAATGTGGGTAAAAGAAGAAGAAAGGAAGGAGAAGGGAAGGGGGTTGCTTGTAACTTGTTTGAGAATTCGAACTGAGCGGTTAATTTTTTGAGGAGGGGAGGAGGGGAGGAGGGATTTAATTGTTTTGTCTTGATTGTTTTGTTGATCTGGGAATTGATCGATTGTTTTTTATTCATTTAGTTTTATTTATTTATCGATTTATCTATCTATCGATTTGTAAACTGGAATCGGAATTGCAATTGAAATATCTCAACGGCGCGATCGAAGTTTATCAATATCAATATCAATATCAACGATTTCTTACGACCTGGGATTCGAGAGTCAGAGGGAGAGGAAGAGTGACGATTTGAGTATACTAATTTTCATTTTTGGGAGGGAGAATAAATTTATAATTGGAGTTGAGTTGAGTTGAGTTGAGTTGAAGCAAGAGAAGGGAAGGGATTGAATGAGTGAGTGAGTGAGAGATTTGAGATTTTACGGAGGATTTCTATAAGCTCTTATATCTATTTGTTCATTTATTCGATTATTGGATTATTCGATTGAATCGATAAAGTTCATCGAGCTACGAATACAACCTTCCGTATACAAACACAAACACGAAGAGAAAAGGGAGGAGAAGAAATCGTTCCGAGGTCCTGAGAAAATTCGAATCGAATCAAATCGAATCAATTACGCCGGCTCGAAATCAAAATCGAATATAATCGCTGTACTTGCTGCATACGCACACTTGAGAAAATCTGCTGTTCTTGGACGTTGGATATATCTGAGAAAATAAGAATATATATCAACACATATCAGACATATACACCACAGGAATATACAAACACACCACACCACACCACAACACGATGAAATTCAACCATCTAGCAAGTTTCAGCTTCGGTCTGTCGTGGAGCTTGATGCTGTTGTTGGGGGGGAGTGTGTATGCGGATGAGATGGGGAGTGGAAATGTGGATGCGAATATGGATGTGGATGGGAATGGGAATCTGGAAGGAGAGTTTGCGAGGGAGTTTAGGGGGGTGTGGGGGAGGGCGTTGAGTAATTTGCAGGTATGTGGGTTTTGATTTTGATTTTGGGTTTGATTTTGATCTTGATTTTAATCCTGGGAGGAGAGGAATACATTGAAGGGAGGTAGGTAGGTATGAGAAGGAGAAAAGAAGGAAAAAAGTGATAAGGTTATAAGAAAATCAAAAACACAAGATTTTATCGGAGCATCGAAAATTCATATCTGCAAGCGCATGAATTGGATTTTCTTGGGAAATTGATACGTATTTGGGAAAATTTATATACGTATATATATAATTACTTACGGATGGTAACTGACATTTTTTTCTTGGGGGTTAGATTTTCACGGGTTCTATGGGTGGTGTGTCGGCGGATCCGGTATGTGATTTTTGGGTTTGAGGGGCGTGTGGATCTCTCTCTTTTTGTTTTTCTTTCATTTGTTAGGGTGGGTTTTGGGGAAGCGGGAGAGGGGGTTGTGGTTGTGGTTGTGGTTGTTGTAGAAATTTTCTTGTAGAAAATTGGGATGGAATTAGGAAATGGATGTTGAAATGGGCGAAGTTGCGCGAGAGAGAAGTATTTACTGATTTGAATCTGGGGTAGATAACTAATTCCGGGGATCATGCGAGACCGTATATGGTCGCGGGGGATACTTTTGTGAGTTTTGATTTCTGATTTCTTTTCAAGGGGGGAGATATCTATTTTGCTGATATGGTTGTTGTGATGTTTGTTAATCTTTTGGTCTTCTCTTTTTGCTTCCTCGTTTATTTCTCTTCTCCTATTAGATCTAATCCCTTCTCTCAATTATCCATCCACCTCCCCAAAGAGAAGAAAAAAGACTAATACCCCTCCCTCCCCCTCTAGCCAGCATTCGCAGACGCCTATTCTCGCTCCTGCGCCAACCAAAACAACAAATGCGCCGACGCAGCTAACAATCCTGCAAAAGCCGCTGCGGATTTAAGTGTGGAGGGTTGTCAAACTCAGGAGTGTATGTTTATCCCTTCTAATTCTTCTTCTTCTTCTTCTTCCTCTTCTTCTTCAAAACATACATCATCGCATTTGGTGAAGAGACAAGCGGGTTCTTCTCATGGGATTTGGGTGGGTAGATTGTTTGGGGTTTTGAGGGGAGTGGTGTTATTTTTTCTGGGGAGTTTTGCGTTTGTGACTTTGTTTTTTGGGGGGTTTTTGGTGGGGGTTTGTTAGGGTTTAGGAGGGAGGATCGGGGGGAGAGGGGTTTGATATTGGGTTTGTGGATTGGGAGTGCTGGTAATGA